AGAATGATATATCAAGTAGAGTATAATCTAACAGGGAAAAGATATGAAACATCATGAGTGGTTAAAACAATTGAACCAATCACATGCAAGCCTGTCTCTATGAAAGAAATCGAAAAGCTGAGGGAAACTCGGTTTGAGGGATTTTGAAACAAAATTATATAGGATTCAAAATTATTATAAGCTGAACTTAGACTAAATCCTCTGAAAAGATTTTAAAACTGCTAAATCTCATGGTCCAATGAAATTCTCTGCTTCCCTTTTCCCTAATATTCCTTTCCTTCATGCTACAGAAAGAATAGTGGAGGCGTCATGATTGAAATTTCACATTTCAAAGCAACCAATGCTTGTCTGATGGAGGTGGCAGTTTGCTTTTGTCTTTTGTGATGATGGAGAATCAAAGAATTCAATTAACCCTAATTTCAAAGAAAAAAATAATAATACTATACCTTCACAACAATTGGATTTAAAGCTTCTTCCGATCTGCACGTTATTGGAGACTTTCATGCGACCTGCGAATTTTGTGGCGGACGGAGGTGCGGATCCAGAGGTGATTTCAAATCCCACAAACAGGTGTGACTTCCAATCAAGCGGGCTTGACTTCCAGTCTCGACGGGCAGATCGTGCCATTGGATTCATCAAGTAGAGACGTCCGGTAATGACTCCATGAGTGTGGATGTGTAAAAGCTTGCGGCTGTGGCAATTGTAGTTGGATAGAAAGCTAATGGGTTGAAGGTCTTAGGTTGGCAGTGGGAGAGAGCAAAGCAGAAGGAACTTCGGTGAGGGTTTGAGAAGATCAGCAGTGAAAAAGTTTTTGCCACGAGCTTCGTTCCATTCTCTTTTAACGTAGAGTGATCGTGCACAAGGACAAGCTGAGATTGTTGAGGTCGTACGTTAACGACATGGAGGTAATGCAAAATTATTTTATTTGATTATTTTCCTTTTTCATCACTTTTTTCTTTATAACAAATATTATATTTATTAATATAATGAGTATTAATAATACTAGTATAAATGTACGTGCACATGGTGTACGTTAATAAAATTTTATAAAATAAAAATAATTTCATAAAATTTAAAATAAAATCATGTCATATTATATAGCTATATTAAATGCTAGATGAATATTACATCTAATATTTATATGCTTATAAATTATTTATACATAATTAATAGGCATATAAATATCTATTATTCTTCAAATATATTCATTAAAGTTAAATTAAAGATAAGAATTGTGTTTATGTATAATGTGAGGGTTTTCATATATAATGTGAGGATTCCCATGTAACCCCATAGTTGTAAGAATAGTGATTGACCGGTATATTGACGTTACATGCTCATGGAAATGTGACTGAAAATAAAAAGAAAGAATTTCTTTTTCAAAAGAAAATATATAATTAAAAAAATCAATGAGTGCGTTACAAGACTCAGCATATTGTTCATTATATAAAAATTTTAAAAAGTACTAAATCAATATGATAAGAGATGAGCAATCATAATTTTGACCATTTCTTGAATGAAATCTGTATCTATGAAAGTCCGGAATTGCTCTCAATAAAATTGCTCTTACCATTTCTTGCAAGTCCAACGCCTATCTCACTTTTCTAGAAGCCAAAGAACAATTAATGTGTATAGTTAATGCTTAAATAGTTAATTAAGAAAACGTCCTTTTTCTCATTCTCATTGCTAATTCTCAAGAGAAATGAAAAAAACATAGATTGTGTTCCTTTTACCTAAAAATTTTAACAAACACAATATGTATAGATCCTTTCTTTACATGCATATGTACAGTCATAATAGGAGAAGAAGCTTCTTTAGCATCTATTTCAAAACTCGATCTCCTTCATGCTAAGCTGAAGAAAAACTAACAAGGCAAAGAAGCTCCTTTAGCAACTCTTTCAAAATTATCCTACAGGCAGAATTGGACCAAGTATTGTTATTGACATACTTATTGCAGTCATCTTCGTAGCCTTTCACCTTCCATTCCCTTTAATTTGCTCTTATTTGTTTATACAATAAGTTTGATATCATAACAAAACTTCATTTTAGAAGTGAATAATGTCTTAAAACCCAAATGTAACAGCAAAAAGGATAAACTTATTAGAAGAAGGCGAAGACGAAGAATTTAGTTTATGACTGTGGTGGGATTCGAAGAGGTGAAACTTTAATAGGATAATTAATTTCGACGAAGGTAAGATTTATGAAATATAAATATATTAAACTCAAGGGACGTATTATTTAAAATTAATTTAATATGTGACTATGTAATAGGTATTAAATTGCATAAGCGTTTTTTTTTAATTATTAATTATTATATTTTATTAAAAATAATTAAATGCATTAATTGGCTCTTACTTAAATGCAATAAATAAAAATAAAATGAAAACGTTATGTATTTAAATGAATATAAATGAAGTTAATAAATGTATAAATAAAATAGCATAGATAGATAGAAGTTGAAGCAAGATAAAACGTCATAATGGTAGTATAGATAGATAGATAGAATTTGATACCAATGAATGCACAGTATAAAACGTCACAATGGTGGCAAATAAATAATACAGCTTTATCTATGATAATAATAGTAGTATAAATGCTTAATTAATTATTTGAAAAGCAGTTTTAAAAATGAGAAGTAAAGTGGGGGTAATTATTATATATTTTCAGATTTGTTAAATTTATTATATATTTATAATATAATGAATGGCTAGGAAAATTTTTGAAGATATAAAATGAATGGCCAAGATTTGCTATGGGTGAAGTCCCAAGCCACTTTTATATAGTAGTATAGATTTATTATCGTAGAGTTGGAAAACATCAAAATAACTATTTTTCGTATTGATTTTTGTGTCAATTTCTCTAAATTTGTGTCGAATTTGCATCGATTTGCGTGTGTAATTTTCCTCGAGCAAATTTATAGTCCCTTTTAAGCGATTCGGACGTCCTGAATGCAACGACGCGGTCCGTTTTGTATTTGGAGGTCATTTGGTTGACATCACGTGTTGTTTTTGTCTCCGATTTTGCTTGTTTTCGCACATAATTTGATATTTAGGGCAACACCTGATTATAGTCACTTGCGCACCTTTGGATGTGCATGCTTTCCACTCACTCCAACTCACACAAGCCACAAACTTCAACCCAAGGCAAAATCTTACATTTTCTTGGGTTATTCTAACACTCACAAAGGCTATAAGTGTCTCGATCCCACTACTAACAAAATTCTAATTTCAAGACACAACCTTTGATGAGCAATCATTTCCTTTTGCAAAGACCTCATCTACTTCCAGCAATTCAGTTATAGACAATTCTCCATTCTTTCTCACCCCAACATCTGTAAATTCATCGGCCCCAAATCCAAATCAACAGACTAACTCTACGTTGCTATAATCTACACCGTTCCATCTTCTTCGCAACCTACTCGATTCTCACCTCTTGTGCCTGAACAGCGCATTACTACCTCATAACCGCCAGCACCCCTCATATTACCGCATCATCCAATGGTTACCAGGAAACAAACAGGATCTCTTAAACCTCGTGTTCGATTAAATCTTTTTCATGCTCATACTAATTCTGATATGCCCGCAGCACCTACTACATTCACTGAAGTAAGCAAACATCATGAATGGCGTCAAGCCATGGCTAGGAGATTCTTGGCATTACAAAAGCAAGGCACGTGGAGCTTAGTTCGACCACCAAAGGAAGCGTCCATTCTTAGATGCAAGTGGACCTATAGACTCAAATTCCATGCTGATGGTTCCATGGCCAAACACAAAGCTCGGTTGGTTTGCCCAAGGAAACCACCAGGAATATGGCGTGGACTATATGGAAACGTTCAGCCCAGTGGCCAAACTTCCGACAAATCGCATTCTTCTCACTATAGCTCTTCACAATGAGTGGTTGGTTCATTAACTTGACGTAGCTAATGCATTCCTCCATAGTAATCTCTAAGAGACAGCCTACATGTCACAACCAAAATGATTTGAAGATACCTCGCATCCTAACTATGTGTATTGTCTTCACAAAGCAATCTATGGCCTCAAGCAAGCACCACGAAAGTGGTACAATACATTCATATCATATTTAGTTTATATTGGATTTTCTCACAGCAATTCAGATCCATCTCTCTTAATACTTCAGCAGCCACAAGTTCAAATTTATCTACTTGTACATAGATGACATACTAATAACTGGAAACAATCAATAAGTTATAGCCACGGTCATTCCAAACCTAGCAGCAACTACGCTATGAAGCATCTTGGCAATACTCATGATTTTCTTGGAATCAAGATCAACTAGACGGATTAAAAGTACTTTTTATCTCATAAGAACTATGCCTATACACTTCTTCAACAAGCTCAATTAACTCATTGCAATCCTTTAGCAAATCCCACCTGCACGAAGCTACCTGCCAACTTCCCTGAGGACTCTGTTCTCTCCAATCCTAGCAATACCGGAAGCTTACTGGATCTCTACAATACCTAAAAATCACTCGCCTAGACATTGCATACAGTGTTAATCCGTTATCTCAGCATATGCATCATCCTCTCCCTCAACCCATTTACCTTCTCAAACGTCTTCTACGCTACATCAAAGGTACGCTTGACTACAGTATACTAATTTCAAAATCGAATCTTAATCTCACATCCTTTTTAGATGCCGAATGGGCTGGCGATCCTATCTCTAGAAAGTTTACATTTGGATATTGTTCATTTCTTAGAGACACGCTCATTTCTTGGACAGTTAAAAAGCAACATACGATTGCGAGATCGTCGACGGAATCAGAATATCGTGCCTTGGCAGCCCTCACGTCGGACGTTATTTGTCTTCGTCAGCTTCTAAATGATTTTGGCATACCTCAAAATCATCCTACAGATATGTATTGCGATAATATTTCTTCCATAGCTCTAGCCAACAATCCTGTCTTCCATGCACGTATAAAACACATAGAAATTGATCAAAAATTTATCAAGGATCACATTCACAACAAGAACATTCGACTATTACCCATCACAACTGTAGATCAAGTGGCTAATATCTTCACCAAAGTTTTGTCTACACCAAGATTTCTCTACCTACGACACAAACTGACGGTCATCCAAGACCCATGAGTTTACAGGGGCGTATAAGTGCAGTAAAATATATAAATTACTTTGCACACTTATGTTAATGTATGACGTGGCTGCCATCTATTGGCTCATATGTATAGAGCTGTATAAGTTTCCTTATATATACTTACTGCTTGGCTGTAATAGATAATTCAATCTAACCAAAATCCTCTTCGTATCCATCTTTTTGTTTCTTGTTCAGCTCCGGTTCTTCAATAGTGCTAAAGAAAAAAGTGAAATGATACCTTTTGGAGACACAATAACGGGGAAATGCTTCTTCAATGAAACTTGCAAGCGGTATGGCTACAAAACAGTGGTATTTGGAAAATTGGAAAGTGCAAGCTAACATTTTAGACAATCAAACAAAATGATGACATGCAAATTCTTTTGTATATTCCTAAGCTATCCAGCTATAACCAGGAATTTTTTTCATGAATTCTTGTTTCATTTTGCCCTTCACCTCAAGGGAATGGTCCCACATGGAATTTGATGAAAAAAGATTTGAAAGCATCACATAACTCGATGTGTCATTTGGTTCAGATCTATAAATAATTTCAGCTATCCGTCCACCATTCTTGACATCCCCATGCTTATTACAGGCACCAAGTAGGGTCCTCCACAAAGAGGTCTTCAAAGGAAATGGTGCATTGTTGATCAAATCCTCTGCTTTCTCCACAAGCCCTACCCGCCCAAGAAGATCAACCATGCAGGCATAATGATTCATTGTTTTCTCTAACCCATAATCTGTAATAGACTCAAAATATTCCCATCCTTCTTTCACCAATCCAAAATGGCTACATGCAGAAAGAATCTCAACAAAGGTTATTCCATCAGGCATAACACCACTTTCTTTCATTACCTCAAACAGGTGAAGGGCATTCAGAACAAGCCCATGTTGTGAAAACCCAGAAATCATTGCTGTATAGGATATCACATTATGTTCTTTCATTTCATTGAAGAACTGTCTGGCATCCTTGATGCTCCCACATTTGCAATACATATCAATAATGGCCACACCAACCTTCAATTTGGAATCATATCCAGTTTTAACACAGTTCTCATGGATATATCTTCCCATGTCAATTGAAGTCAAGCTTGAACAAGCAGAAAGGCAGCTAGAAAAGATTGATTCATCAATATTTGAAGGCCCTTCCTTGTACTGCAAGAAGGTTTTCAGAGCTTTTTCCCCAAGTCCATGTTGAGCATAGGATGCTATCATGATGTTCCAACAAACAATGTCCTTCTCCAGTAAATTCAAAAAAATTAGAGATGCATCATCCATGCAGCCATGCTTTGCATACATTCCAAGCAAAGCAGATTCCACAAACGCGTGTAAACAAAAGCCCATCTTTATGGTAAAGCCGTGAATTTGCTTTCCTTGGCATGTTTCTGGAAGTCCAGAGCAAGCTTGTAGAGCAGCAACAATGGTGTACTCATTTGGTTTTGCGGAACCTAAAGGCAGCATCATACGATATAATTCAAAAGCTTCATCATATCTCTCAGATTCAACATAGCCATGCATTAGGCTAGTCCATGAGAACTCATTAGGCACTTCAATATCCATGAACATCTTAAAAGCCTCATCAATAGCCCTGAAATTTAAGTACATCTCCATAAGATTGTTCCCCATAATAAGATCTTGCGTTCCAATTGTTTTCACAATGCGGCAGTGAATAACTCTGGCTTCTTCAAGCATATCGAGACTAGCAAAAGCTCTAAGCATAGAAGATAAGGTAGAATGATCAAAAACCATTCCAAGCTTCCCCATCACCAGTGCCATATCAACTGCAGCAACAAAGTCTGAATCACAAACAAAACCTTGAATCATTGTACTATAGATTACTCCATTCTTCTCTGCCGTGCCAACAAAGCTTCCATATGCATCACGGGTCATTCCAAAACTAACATACATGTCAATCAAAGCACACCCAATGAATGAGTCCAGCACAAACCCAGACTTCAGTAAGCAAGAATGCAACTGCAAACCAAGTTCAACTGCTCCCAAATCAGAGCAGAGATTAAATAAGGTAGCAAACATAAAGTGGTCTAGATTATAACCTTCTGAAACAAAATCAAGATACAAATCAAGAGCTTGCTCAGCCTCTCCACTTTGCTGCAGACCTGCTATTAACGCACACCACACAACATGGTCGCGCTCTTCCATTTCATAAAACAAGCTGCAAGCATCAGTCAGCTCCGAAAATTTTGCAAAAGCATCTATAAGAGCGCAACCCACAAAACAATCATTTTCAAAACCAATCTTAATAACTCGAGCGTGGATAACTTTCACAAAACTAATGTCAAAATTTCCGGCTCCATGCTTAATAAGAATGGTGTAAGTAAAACAATTAGGTGCAGTACAAGAAAGCAGCATTTGGTGAAACAACTTAACAGCTTCTTGAGGCTTAGAATGACGCGAATATCCATCAATGAATGAGTTCCACAAAGCTTGGCATTTAACAGTAGTTCTGTCAAAGAAAAGTTGAGCTTCCTTCATGTAACCATACTTGCAGTACATATCAAGAATGGACGTACCGCAAAATGAATTGGCTTCAAACCCGGCTTTGATTGCTAGGCCATGAAGGAGCTTGCCAATGGCGGGTTCACCTGCAAGGCGGGATGCTTTGAGAGCAAGCGATAAGCCATACTCGTTAGGCCGCAGACCCGAGTCGCACATCCGACGAAATTCGCGCAGCCCAAGATCCGCATGCCCGCTTTTGATGTACGACGATATCGTGCGCGTCCACGAAACAAGTTTTGGATCAGGCATTTGGTCGAGCAGGTGGTAGGCATGGTCACAGTCCTTTTGGAAGGCGTCCTTCTGGATGTTGTTGAACCAATTTAACCCTAATAGATCGCACCAACCTTCTGAGTTCGGATCGGACCAAGCTTCTGAGTTCGGCTATATATGCACGTAACCAACCCCATTAGTATAGCAGTGAGCATCTAATTAGTTTTGAGTGGGGAAAGACCCTGGTGTTGCTCGGCTTTGTTAGGTTTCGCCGTCGACGATCTTCTAGCCCGAGGAGCTCGGCACTCAGATCTATGGTGTTTCTCCATCTTGAATCCTTTTCTCTTTCCTAGGTTTGAATTTCCTAAACTCAGTTTTTTTACCTGGTTCTAAAAGCATTTTCTTCAAAATTTTCGGCTTATACCGTTTTCTCTTTTCTTGGGCTTAATTGCATTTTTTTCCTTTTTTATCTGGTTATATTCTGTTTTTCATCTCAAGGGACTATGAAGAAATGTTTGATGGAGATGATCACGGTATTTTGATGATCGTTGCCCAGCTTTAAGCTGCTGGTAGCTCATCAATTTAAATTTTGCCATGAATTGATTTTATGCCTTACTCATCTGAGTCCCGTTTCATTTTTTCTATATTTCGTTTTTTTTTTCTGGAGAATTAGATCACTCATTTAACATAAATAAATTAAAAAATGGAATACACTTCTGCATTCTATTTTTATTGACTATAATATGACTTCTTATTAATTTAACAATATTAATTCTGATGGGTTTAAATTTAGGCTTCATTTGGGACAGTTTTCTTAATGTTTTTTAATATCACAATTATAAATTTTTTTTTGGTCATTATTTCTTACCATTTTGAATAAATTAAAAAAAAAACTGCATTCCACAATAGCTTTCAAAAAGCTAATTCTCCATAGCAGCTTTACAATCACTTTTTATAAAAGTTGCAATAGTTCAAATTAACTCTTAATATTTTGCTCATTAAACTATTTTACATTAATAATTTTACAGTAATTATTGGGTCCTTGAGTATTAGCTGCAGTAGAGAAATATAAAATTTAACATCTTAACTTTGTACGAAAATCTGGCACGCAATCACATAAGAGAGAGAGTGTGTAGCATTTATGAGACAGCAAGATTTTTACATGAAAAACTCCTGAAAAATGAGAAAAACCACGGGCCCTAGCCCAATTTGAATGAATTCACTAGTATTGCAGTTGATTACAAATGAGACCCTTCCTTTTTACCTTAGTATTACCTTTTTAATACCATTATGATGAAATATGAGATTTTTACTATGTTTCATTTTCCATCTTTCGGGAAAGCTGGGATACTAACCAACCTTTTAGGTTGTTTAAATATTTGGTATCCCCATCACCCCAATGGATCGAAAATGAAATTTAGTGGATCGCATATCCATTACGATAGTTTTAATGAGTTTGCTTTTGCTTTCTAAATTGTATTAGGTTTTTCTTCTTTTAATGCAATTTGCATTTCTTTAAAAAAAAAATGAGACCCTTCCTTAGGGGAAGGTCTTAACTTGATGTACATCTTATAGAGTACATTACACGATGAAAATACAAAGAAATAACTGTTGATTTGTTTGTTTGGTCGTGAGAATGCTCTGAAAGCTCTTGAAAGTTCGACAAGGATGTTAAGCCCTAATGAACTAGTCCCAAGGCTAAACAAGAGGGGTATGAATTGGTATTTTAAAAAATTCGTTACTTTAAGCAAAAGCACAAACTCAAACCAAACCAAAATTCACCACAAAGTGCAGAAATTAAATGCAGAAAAATCAGTAATAAAAAACACGGAGATTTATAGTGGTTCGGTCAACTCGACCTATATCCACTCCCCGGAGGAGCCCTCCGAGTATTGAACTAAACTTAGTGTATTTTCTTTTGCCCCCACAGCAAGACAGAGAAGCCTATACAAAACTCCTTTTCGCCGACATCGATGAAGCAGAGAACCCAACTCATTTTGCTTCCTCCTAAAGCAGTCAGAAAATTCAACTCCTTTTGCTTCCTCCTAAAGGAGGCAGAGAACCAAACTCCTTTTGCTTCCTCCTGAAGCAGACAGAGAACCTTGATCAGATGCTGAAGTCGACCACTCTAGAACCCCCAAGGAACTAGGGATGACGACCGGAGAAGACGACGACGGATCCTTGCTTGGAGCAACCTTTGTGAAACCCCTCACAAACTCCCCCTCACAAGATCTTCTCTCTCTCTCTCCCTTGCTCTCCCTCTCCTCTTGGCTCTATCAGGTCATGACATCGGTAAAAGATACTCTCTTTGATAAAACAAGATGTTTTATATAGAAGAGCTTCGGAATAGCTCTTAATTGCAAAAAACTGACTTTATCGTCTAGGACGATCTAAATATCATCATGTACAATTAGTATAAATTTATCTCAATCAGTAAAGACGATTTGGGATGATCAGAAGGTTTTTTGTTCATATGGTCCAGGATGATAATATATTGTCCTATACGATTAGTACAAATTATTGAATATCATCCGGACCATCGCACTGAATGGATGTTTAAACTATGAAAAATAGCTTGATTGTTCAGGCCGATCTCATGATCATCACGGACGATTACTTCAAATCCGTGCATATCATCTAGAGCATCGCCCTGAATAGAAGATGGCTGATGTTTGATCGTCCAAGAACAATTAAGGTTTTTAAACTGAACATCCCGATAGATCCTGCGATCGTCTAGGACGATATGATCGAGCAATCAAATCTTAATTGCTTTTCTTAATTATCAGATTAATTTAGGAATAATTTCACTGCATTGTCTAGAGCGATGTCTTGGATAATGTCTAAAAATAAACAATACCTAAATAGATTTGGCAGCTAATTCTTTCTGATTTGAGCCTATCATCCAAGCCGATGAAATATTGTCCAGGACGATATGCTTAATTGCACCTGTGTTAACCTGGATACCCTAATTAGTGCTTTTATTTTTAACTGATCATCCAGGTCGATTTTTGGATTGTCCCGAACGATGTAACCAAAAAAAGAAAACTCTAAAAAATAGTTAGATATTTTCCCCCAAGTGTGTGTGTGTATGTGAGGTTACTTAGCATCAAGAATCACATCGTTTATAATTAACTCAAGAAAAGGTAAAAGATTACAAACTGACTCATTTCTAGTCTACCCCAATTTTTAGCTAGTTCAAATTATAGTTTGATCTTGTAGACCTGAAATGTTAGTAGACAAGACAGTCGTAGAGAAATAAAAGTGTTTGTTATCATCAAAATCATATTTTCTGAAATCAGATTTGCAATAATCTCCTCTTTTTTTATGATGACAAACACAAAAATAATTAAAGATACTCAAAGCAAAGCAAATTAATAGAAGCATTGTGAAATCAGAAATTCAAATTTTAATAAGGAACAACATAGTACAACTAACCAAAATATAGTACAAACTAGAACAGAACAACTACTCCCCCTTTTGACATCACAAGGAGGAGGAAAAAACAACACAAATTGAAAGCAGGAGAAGACTAAAACAAGAAAAAAAAAATATCACGAAAATAAACTAAAAGAAAGATGGCCCCTAATCATTCGAAGGAGGAGGTGGTGGTGGTGGCTGCTGAAAGTAACAGGAAAGAGTGACAAACTGCTTTCCAAACCAGATCATGTCCTAGTCGTTCTGGTGCTATTGGTGAGCCACAAAAGAGTCAAAGCGAGCAACGTCCTTCGTATGTTGCAGAGCAACAACGTATGACTCGAAGCAAGTCTTGTTAGGAAAGTTGCTATTTGCATGTTTTACATTCTTGCAACTTGTATTATTTTGATGATTCCAAATAACGTATCTGCTCATTTCGTATCTTATCTCTAAGGGTAAAGCCACTCATCCACCTGAGCATCCTCATCTCTGCCACACTTAACTTAGTATTATGCTTCTCTTTTGGAGACTTACCTAAAACATTTAAATTTGTGGGTTGAGTTTACTAATTAAACTCAGTGGGTAATAATTAAAACCATCAATATAAATGTTCTTTAATATGCTTCTTAATATTTCATGACTTTATTTTATTCATTAAGTTATTTATACAACCCTGATCATTTTCTTTTAAAACAATTTAAAAGATTTTGAAACTTTAACATTTCCTTTTTCATTTTAGTTTGTATAGGAGCACCGTCTCAATGTACCCAAAGGTACAACCTTTTTCAATTATTTCCTTTTTCATTTTCATGACCTTTTCCTTTTTACGTGCACAAGTATGATGTCCCCATCCAGTATCATAAGGGAGTGATCTCCTGTAGTTTTCATACATATCAATTTCCTTTTATTTCCATTTATTTTGAACATTTGTTATTCATTGCATATGTCATTTCTTTGTTTGCATATTTCCTTAATACATACCTTTACCTATACCATATAACATTCTCATTTATTCATATTCATAATTTCATTCATGTTAATTAATTATTTGATTCTTTCATTTTCTGTTGAAATAATTACAATTATTTAAGCATTTAATCTGTCAATATTTCACAATAATAATCTTTTAAAATAAAACTTTGAAAGCAATATTATAATACAAAATATTCAATTTCATAATTATAATTACCCACTTTGAATCTCTCAACTCTTTGACATTAGATACAACCTCGAATCTCAAATTCCCTTTTTTTTGTTGAATTCTTGGTTGATCAACTTCTATAATCTTGATCTCTCTCTCTCTCTCTTCAAAAATCTCTGGCATCAAACAATAAAATTTCATGAAACTCGCTATATCTAATAAAACTTAAAAATAATTTCATGATAAAAATTACTTACAATGAGGATTTTCCAAATCCCCCAAAATCCTTCTTCCTCTCCCAAAAACTTTCTTCTTCTTCCCTCACAAATCTCGTATCCTCGCTTCCAAATGTCTTTCTTATCTTCCAATAAAATGTTTACACTAATTAGAGAAAATATTAGGAACAATTTATAAAAGATTTGAGAAAACAATTTTTTTCCCTATAAAAGAATAAGTTTCCTTTTATTTCCATTTATTTTGAACATTTGTTATTTATTGCATATGTCATTTCTTTGTTTGTATATTTCCTTAATACATACATTTACCTATACCATATAACATTCTAATTTATTCATATTCATAATTTCATTCATGTTAATTGATTATTTGATTCTTTCATTTTCTGTTTAAATAATAATTACAATTATTTAGGCATTTAATCTTTCAACATTTTACAATGATGATCTTTTAAAATAAAACTTTGAAAGCAATATTATAATAAAAAATGTTGAATTTCATTATTATAATTACCCACTTTGAATCTCTCAAGTCTTTGACGTTGGGTACAACCTCGAATCTCAAATTTCCTTTTCTTGTTGAATTCTTGGTTGATCAACTCCTATAATCTCGATCTCTCTCTCTTCAAAATCTCTGGCACCAAATAATAAAATTTCATGAAACTCGCTTTATCTAATAAAACTTAAAAATAATTTCATGAAGAAAATTACTTACAATGGGGATTTTTCAAATCCCCCAAAATCCTTCTTCCAGTGCTAAAAACTTTCTTCTTTTTCCCTCACAAATCTCCTATCCTCGCTTCCAAATATCTATCTTATCATCAAATAAAATGTTTAAACTAATT